GTACTGGTGAAAGGCATGTCCTCTGTACTCTCCATTTCTGGCTCTAGAGGTCTAATCTGATAAATCCACTCTAACATGCCAATTTCCCTACTCTGGATACCTTCTTCTACATTATATACCAAGGCAGGTCTGGTACTTCAATTTGATTTAAGGTAGGCCACCACATAATCCATGTTTCAGTAAACCAACCAAATAAACAATTAGATTCTTTCCTAACCTCTTGAGCTGAAACATTGAATGAAGAATCTGTACTTAGTGGGCCTAAATTAATAAACTCAGACTGATTCAATGTTACATTCCTTGCACCATTATCCCATTCCCTTAGTAGCCATTCTCATACATATTCTCCAGGTTTCTGTTGGTACATGTTTGCAAAATCAAGTAGGTCTTTTTAGGTGTAGTGTACCACTTCCACAGTCACACTTTGTATTTCACCTTTTGGGGCTCACTTGGACTTAAGTTTAGTTATCCGTGTAACAGCAACAGTGGGTGGTTGGGGCAGTTCCTGAGACCATTCAGCAATATCTTCCATGGCATCTACCTCAGGCAATGACCCAGAAGGAACAGTTGGGTTAATCCTATCAAAAGTAGATGAAAGGGATAATGATTTTATGGTAATCCCTTCAGATGGGAGGGATTCAACAGACTCCATATCCTCATCTTCTAACTGTCTGTCCATATGTCCCCATTCCAGGTTTTAGGATCCCATTTTTTCTCAATCAATGCCTTCACTTTCACTTTAGACACCATTATGGGTTGGCAATTGAATTGGTGTTGTAATTCACCTACCCTTACAATAAGACTCTGGGTTTGGTTTTCGGCAATGTCAGCTCTATTACTGGAAAAAAAAAAGACTTTCTTTCAGAGCACAACTAGAAACGTTGAGGTCTTTTATGCGGCGCTTGAGCTGTGACTCAGCTGCCCTGAACACATCTCACTTTTTCACCACTTTGTCTAGCATAAGTAGGACCAACCAACCAGCTTCCTTATACTCTTCATGCTGACAAAATTGCAGAAAAGTATCAAATATGCGATCACCCAGAGCCTCACTTCTCAAAAATACTTGATTTATTGGTGGTGCTATTTTGCATATTAATGTTGCCACTTCATGCCACAGATTAGCAGGGCCCTCTTTACTAACAGAGGCAGGGTCACCAGTGCTTTTCTGATTAATCAAATTGGAGAACCAGAACAGAATTTGTGCGAACCAATTTAGGAAGCCCATACTTACGATTTTGTCTCTCTAGAACCACTCTTGGTACCAAATGTGTTAGGCTGGGTTGTCTAGAGAAGCAAAACCAGAAAAGTTTATTTTTTTGGGGGGAGGTATTTATCTTAGGAAAATGGTTCACACACTTATAGAAGATGTCAAGTGCCAAGTTCTTGGATCAAACTTCAAGGTGGAGGCTTTTCCTGACTCATGCAGCTGCAGGGGTTGACGAGCTCAAGGCTGGCAGGCAGTATACCAGCTGTTGACTCCAACGGATGACTGATCCAAGATCTCCAGACCGAATGGTGGATTGTTCACTCACAAACAGTTATAGGCATTACAACAGGATCCCGATCCACAGAAGAGTGTCTCATTTTCCCGGGATGTCTGTAAATATATTGGAAGCAGGCCACAGCCCTCGGGAAACTCCCTTTGAATGGATTGGCTGCTCA